GGGACAACATCAGTCACGAAGAACTAAATCTCTTGTCTTTAGAGTTTTGCATCGATCTCCGCTTCCCTCCACAGGAAGGCCAGCGATCAGGGACACAGCGGCACAAACTTTCCAACTCATCACTGAGGATCAAACCAGACAGAGGCTGCTGGCCCGACTCTGTAAACGACTCTGAAACAGCAGAATCAGACACGTGAAGTCAGACGTCTCTGTTCCTGAAGCAAACCTTACTGTTTCTCCATGTTTGGAGAATTTAAAAAGTTTACATTCCCACTTTAGAGACTTTATCGCAGAGTTTTACAGCAGTATCAGCTCACCTTTCCCCCCCAAAAAACCCTCCCTACTTTAAACCAAACCATCCCTTTAATGAAGCGGTCACATATATGAGAACAGTAAAAGAGGGATGAGATGAAAGGTGGAACTCATGGGAACTTCAGTAAAAGTCAGTCATCCATCAGTCAAGGTTTTGGTCTGAAACAGATGTAAATAAAGAGGACAGAGCTGTGTTACATAGAAAAACACAACACGTCATGTGTTTAGTGTCCCATGGCGTCCTCTCCCTCTGTGTGACATCATGGCCATGTGATGACAACCATTACCAGTGAAATATCAGACTGACCACAACTTCTCGTAATAAGGGGAAACACATTTTCCATCAGAGACAGCAAGTACAAAATGATTAATATTAACTTTGCAAAGAGAGAGGTCGGTTAAGGTACATAACAAATACACATTTTATACACACACTTACCCAACTCAGGTCTCATAATCATATCTAAATTCTTTCAGCTAGAATTCCCAAAGCTCCCACATTCTTTTTCAGTTCAATTTCTGATTTAATCTGTGCATTTGTTGCTAATTTCATGCACGTCTGGCTGATTTTGTGATGAGAGGTTGAAATAAAAAACACTGAATGAATCCCAGCTTATTTGAAAACTCTAGAGAAGAAAAACTCATCCTTTCTGTGTTTGGCTGCATTTCTAGTGGAAAATCTCTGAGTTGAAGAGAAGCTGTCAGCGAGACTTTATCTTCCTCAGTGACAATGACACACACTCTTTGTTCACTTGTCCACACACACACACACCTTTTGTCAACCAGTCCAGGTGCTAAAAGGTGTCGCATAGTAAATCTACCATGAGCTGGAGGAGGGAAGGGATTTCTTAGTGTTGTGGTTGACAAAAACATAACAGACATTCTTTTAGGAAATAAGAAACTATGAAAGCTCTTTAAATGTTGCCGAGGATGCATTTGCACTTAGCATTGTCCTCTTGTAATCAGATGTCTCCGAATGGATTTTAATAGCAGGTCTGAATGACGTCGTATATGAGATTCTCTGTAATTGTAGAGAAGCAGGAAATCGAGTGGTTGTCACGGTAACACAGTGTTTCAGCTGGCCAAATATTAGCTGTGACCTCTGGAGCTTATAAATAAAACATACTGATTAAATGGTTAATCGCTCACAGTTACACTCTAGCCAGAGCCCAGACTGCTAACCTGGGGGTCATGGGGAAAATCTGAGGAGACATAAGATGAGTAATGGGACAGGAAAGACAAAACCCACAAATTTGTAAGGGCCGGAATGTGTTGTCCATGAATGTAAAAGGCCAGTTGTTCAATCCTCCGGTCCGCATGCTGAAATGCAAAATGTGCAACACATAAAAAATGTACTTGAATGAAGCTCGGGTCACAATTTTTCTGTCTGAACCCGTGCAACCTGAGAGAAATCTGACTGGACCCAATCCCAATTCAATGTCGGTTAAATTGCACCAAGTCGGTTATTCTGTCCTGACATGTACGTTATTGGTTGTTTTCCTCGATTACAGCGCAGAACCAAAAAATATATTTAAGATGCACTGAAGCCAGAGAAACTCCAAAACAAATACAGTTTCCTCATGGCGCTGCCGTGTTTCTGCCTCCCCATCATCACATATTTGCTTTTGAATTCTTATACTCGCGTATCTGTGTGTTATTACACCACTGAGCCTCTGTGACTGTGTCCTGGTGATCAAGCGAGATACCTCGTCCACATCCCTGCCTCGCCCTTGTGCTTGTTTCTAACTCCGGTAACTCTGCGGCACAGATAAAAACAGCAATTGTGGTTTGTGGTTTGTGTTATGTAACCTGGATTCATTCAGGATAATAAATGGCAATTAACCAGGCAATACAAGAGTGAACAAAACTTGACGAGCTGTCTTTTTAAGAAATGATTGACTCCTCCAGAGGTTTCACCTACAGCGTAAACAAAACATGAGATAATCTGTCTGCAGAGGCATCGGTCCTGCTGTGCACGTGTGTTATGTGCCCCAGAAAGTGACTGGTGTACATGGTGTGTAGCCTAATGTCATAACTCAAATGTAACACAGGGATGTGTGGTTGTTACACTGATCTATGCAGGATGATCCCCACAATGATTCAAGTCTGTCAGTCTGCAGCAAATACAATTATTTTAAGTTTATGTGTGTCTCTGCAGGTTGATGTGAACACACACATCAGGCTGCAATGTGGTGTTTTTATTTCAGAGTGTGATTCAAGCAACAGTTCAAGCGGAAATGACACAGCAGATGTTTGAGCTTGTACGACTCTGAACTTGATGAAAAGATAAAAAACGACACCAGCAAATCCTGAAGAATCTTAAATAAAATGCACGTGTTGAGCTCAGGGTGAAAAAGAATTACTGCCGCCCCTGGTTGAGTGTGTCCGCTATCCAGAGCAGTTTGAGTTCCTCCAGGTGTTTCTGACATATTGCATTCACGATAAAGTGAGATCACCATGACCTTTGACCACTGAAATATATATCAAAAAATATTTCTAAATCCAACAGGCAAAAAACTCCCTAGAGGCAGATTTGAGATATCATGCTCAAGAGGCCCAAAATATTTATTGTGGTCACTGTTTTGTTGACCTTTGACCTTTGGCCACTAATATCTAAGCAGTTTATCTGAGAACATTTGTGCTAAATCTGATTCTCTTGAGGATTTCTTAGGACAGTATGCTCACAATTTGAGATCGCAATGACCTTGAACTTTGACCTCCAAGTCTGTCCCAGGTGTCCGGATACATCACGTTGACAAGAACATGAGGTCACTGTGACCTTTGACCTCTGCCACACAATCCCAATCAGTTAATTCTTGAGTCCGAGGAAACGTTCCCATTCTTTAGAACAAGAAATTCCCTTATGATATCTTGATCTAAAGAATGGGACAAGCTGACTGACAGACAAGACAAAATCTTGATGCCTCCGGCCCCTGGCTGTCGCCGACACTGAGGCATAAAGATAAAATATGGTGGTGCAGTTCCGACGCAGCCTTTTGTCTCTTCTGTCTGAAGCTGGTAAAAGTCTCACTGTTGACAACAAAACTCTGCCCTCAGGGTGAGATCTTTTAATGATGAGGTCAGCAGCCCACTGTGAAGCCATACACTGAACCAGGAAACTGAACCACGGACATTAGGAGACAAAAGCAGAGGAGAAATGAACAAAAGTCCTCTTTAATCAAATCATCTTCAGCTGCACACAGTTGCTCATTTCCTCAGTTATCGGGTAGACCTGTGCTACAATAGCTCTCTCACCAGATTGTTTGTCTCTATTCTCGGCTCCTCTGGCAGGAACCAGTTTGCCAGAAATAGCTGCCGGAGCAGGAGAGCAAACCATTAAAAAGCAGCGGTGAACAGACCTTTCACTTTCCCAAGCCAGCGCACTTTTAGTCATGTGTTTCCACTCCGCTCACTGCAGTTTTGATGATAATCGAGGTAAATGCTGTAAACTGAACTCTGACTTCATGAGGGAGAAATCCACACTCAGACAGGAAGCGTTTACAACTTCAGGACTGCTTTCTGTCCGTTATTCTGTTTGATTAGGATCAAATATTTAGTCAAATAAACCCAACCATCTAGCTTTAATCCGGCTTTAGATAATGTAATATTTTTTCTGAACCTCAGAGGCCAGACTGGGGCCTTCTGTTCGTTCAGAGGATAAATTAACTCTGATGTCTCCTGGTGTTGCGTTGTCGTTTAAATGCGCCTCCGGGCCGCTAGGTGGCAGCGCCGCAGAACAAGCGCGAGCTGAGACTGGAGAGAGTGAGAAATGCAAAATGGCAACTGATGAAGGCACCTGCTGTGAATAAGTTGTGAATAAGTTGTGTTTGAGAGTGAACAGCGTGTTTACAACTTCAGCGTCTTGTTATTGTTGAGGCTGTGTCACACTTCAGCCGCCGTGCACACGCAGACACACAAAAAAACAACACAACGGCCTCGGGAGGGGACACAACTCTGTATCCTCCATTAAATCAAGACGCGAGGGACATGTGGACAAACAGCTTAGAGACTAACTCACCTTGTCTGAAGTTCAAGTCCCTTCTCGGTCCTCTCACACAAGTGTCCATGTTGACATCCGTCCTCTTCATGGCAGCTGTGCAACACCTGAAAACTAGCTAACTAGCTAACTGTCATGCTAACTACCGTTTCTGCTCGTCCTCGGAGTTTCTCCTTTCACAGTTGCACAGTGTTACAACAGCGACATTAATTTAAATAAATAATTTTAACTTACTTCACCTGGCGTCCATAGGAACACGCCCTTGTGTTCCACCAACCTTTACCCGCCAGAAGGAGGTCACTTCCTGTTTCAGCAGGAAATAGAATCAACTGCAGCTAATTGAGCTGAACCATGTTCTGTGAAAGTTTGTACATAATTATTTTCTGTTGTTGTGATAAAACAAGTCGTTCTAGCATCAAATATTGCTGCACATTAAACTGAAAAAATAAAAAATAAAAATTAGCCATAGAACACAAATTCACGGAAGGATGCATATCGTTAAAAACAAGTCAAGGAGGCAGAAACAAAGAATCCATCAAACTAATTAACACAGGCAAAGGTAACAAAGACCTTTCTTCTGTATCTCAACCGATGGGGAGAGTTACACAGTCGTGCCACTGATGGGAAAAGAAGTCAGGATCATTTCCAAGACATTTCCAGGACACAGGGAACCATCTGAAGTCACTGCAATTTACACACAATGTTTATTAACAGTAAAAAAAAAAAAGAAGATGAGTAGTGACTTTAGTTGAGATACAAAGTTAAAAATAAATTTAGCAGATAAAGCATTTCACTTCCTGTGAGTTTGAGCAAATAAAAAAAAAAAAATTAAAGTCAGCCAATCCCCTAAAAGCAAAAGGATTCGCAGTGAATTGGAAACAAAGCCACAGTGATGTGGTGGAGCCCGACTGCAGGAAATGAAACTGAACACTTCTGTTAACGGTTAACACGCCTGATAAAATTTCTTCATGTCACAATTCTGCCTCCATCATGAACCTTTGAAAAACTATGTGCAACTTTTTGATGATTAGATGTTGATATTCGGCTCAGTCTTTTTTTGCAAAGTTTAATTCTTGACTTTTGGTTTTGGATATTCTGTTCCTGGATTTCTGGATTTTGTTTGCTAACCTTTAAATTCATCCATTTATTGCATTTGGGTCCTGCTGTAGCTGTAACTTTAGATGTGTTGAGTGACATTAAAAATGATTAAAAAATATATACTTAGGACACAGAAATGTACAAATATCATAACAACTTCACAGTCATGTCATTCATTAATGTGTTTTCTGATAAATCTTTTCTAATCTGAGAATAGAATTCCAAGAAATTACATTCAATAATCTGACGATAAAAGACGCATTATAGAAAAATCATTTTATATTAAAAAATTGTTACAGTTCAGAGTGAGTGTTCGTCGTAGCATCAGGAGCAGAAGAGCTGGAGGAGGAATCTGTCTCCTCCGATGACAAATCGCCTTCCATATTCTCCTCATCCTCTTTCTCCTCTTCCTCCTCTTTGGGCTCCTGCTGCCGGGAAGAGCCAGGTTCCTGCGTGTCCATGATTTTTAGAAACTCGTAGAACTTGACAGCAGGAGGCCAATTGTCTTCACCCAGCATCCCTGCAGAGACACCAAGAAAGAGATTATGTACAAATTCATAGAGGATGGAAGAGCCTGTCCATTTCCTGTTTAACGTTTAAACAGATTGACAGACTACAGACTGGACTCCTTCCTGTTTGGATCCAGAGTCTTTTCCATAGCGATCTTTGATAAGGCACCAGCTGTCAACCAATGACATTTCACTCTGTTTGTTGTCTCAAATAACAAAATAAAACTAAACTCACCGGAGAAAATAGCACCTGACTGGAAAGAGGTAAAATGACAAAAATAACCTAGTACTCCACCTTTTCTGCCAACGTGGACGAGGTAGGATTTACTGCCTGTGCTGCAGCCAGCCAACAAGTCACAACAGAGATGATTTGGCTTCACTTTCAGGCAGCAGTCATGTCATCCATCTTTATAAACAGCCTATGGTAAGAAGGTAATGGCTGCAGACAGTAGCGTCACTGCTGCAGTAGAGGATCACCTCCTCCATGCTCACTTATTACCGTACCGGGTGTAAATGTGAGAGGTAAATTACTCATCGTCGATGTAACAGCTGGAAAACACATTCAGATGCAGAAAAGCATTTTAACAGCATGTGCTAAAATGGTCTCATTGCAAAAGTACAAGCTGTGAAGCAAATGACCAACTTTATGGAGCAATTACAGAGTCAATCAAATCAATCAGGGGAAAAAACTAAATGTAGAAACCTCACAGAGAGCAACCTGTGAGGGATCCCTCTCCCAGGACGGACAGACGTGCAACAGATGCCGCAATATGCGAGCGGACATATTGTTTATCAAGCAGTCATGTTGAAATCACAGTCCATGATTCACTGCCACCACGATAAACAATATGTGTCTTTTACCATTATATTATATTCTTTTCAGGAGCTCTTATTTCACTAAGGCGTTCTATTCTATTTTATTACTTTACATTATATCCCCCTTACCTGCAGGTGACTCTGTCTTATCCTCGATCCTCTGCAGCCACTGCAGGACAGACGGGGCCACTACTGGGGTGTTGGGGGGGTACTGATAGATCTCCCCTCCAGTGGGTAAATGGGTGAGGACCAGAGCAGGCAGGGGGGGCATAGAGCCCAGGTATGACCCCAGGACCGACATGCCAGCCGGAGTTCGGCCACTGGGACACACAACGAAGAAATTCCAGTGTCATTTCTTAAGCTCTAAATATTTGGCTGAAGGACCGATTGAAAACAATGACCGACGCACTCACAGGTGAATCCAGCAGGCGAGATACCGCTCCATCCTCCCGTCTCCCAGCTCCACCACTCTTCCCATCTCCTCCACCAGCGCCTGGTTCTGCCTCCGCCCGATCTCATCCTCCTCCTCTCCCACAAAAAGGAGCAGGAGGGCTTTGCCCAGAGAGAAGAAGGACGGCAGATTTTCCACTGTCAGTTCAGGCTGGAGTCCAAAGAGATTTGAAAAAGACATTTATAAAGGTGGATAGAAAACAGGTGCCTTTTAATACTGAGGGGCAAAGGTGCTTTAACAAAATCAACACAGACCACAGATTTACACATCAGTGCTTTTTGCTGTCTACTGCAGATGCAACATTTTGCTGTAATGGCATTAAACCTGCTTTTAAATGTCAGCACAAAGCATGATGGGAAAATGTCATGTGTGTTCAAACGTGAGAGAGGAATAGGACTGGTTCATTATTTTTGTAGTATTCTATTCTAGTAGTAATTATTAATGGACTACACAGAAATCATTTTGAGAGGGGAGAAAAGAGTCATAATTTAACGATGCGTGTCATGTTAGAGGGGGAATATCAGAAGATCAGTCTTGTCCAGTGCAATGAAGTTATAATTAAGAATAAGTTTCACAATTCATAAAATAAAATTCTTCTTTTATGTAGTTGAGGCTCTGCTGCACTCCAAGATAAATCAAATGAGGACAACAGCACCACCAAAAAGCAGAACGTGTCATGGGTTGGACTCTTATAGTTTTTAGTTGTTGAGCAACATCTAGATTTAAGATTTGTCCTTATCACTTCATTTCATCCTCATTCACATGAACCGATTGAAACTGGGACACGGTGCATCTCTCTGACCTTGCAGAGAATCCCTGTTCACACTGAATCCACATATGTTGCTTGTTATCTGTGACACACTGTCAACCATTCTGTCCTGGCTTTCACAAACTTCCAAGAAACACACACGCTGTGTGTTTAAGGCCGTTTCATGAGATATAAATGAAGACTGGCTCACAGTCAGAGCTTAGAGACCTTGGGATGTAGAATTTTGCTGGTATTACTTAAGTTATTACTTCTAATCAGGTTTTGTAGTAAAACTGCCACTTTTTTTTTTTTTTAGCATTTCCCATAGAAAACAATCTGGACAACACAAAGAGAAATATAAACACATTGTGATTTACCATTGGATGGAGCAGTGCAGTGTTGATGTGTGTGAGCAGCTCCTTGGCAGAGGACGACACAGGCAGCGCGGAGGGACGAGTGTGTGTCTTCCAGGATGGAAACGCCAACACTGCAGGAAGGTCCACAGTGTGGTCTGCGGCCCTGAGCAGCAAACACGACACACACACACACACACACACGACACACACACACACACACACACACACACACACACACACACACACACACACGATTAAATCAAGTAATAAACTTTTCATGACACAGGAATATTTGACACACAACACATGACCACTCACGTATACTGGGCACGTGTTGAACCAGGACACGTTGGTTGTTAGTTGCAGAATTGTTGTAGATTGTTTGAATAACAGTTCTGAGTGATCGTATCTCAGGATGCTTTTAAGATGCATTTACAAATTTGCGTGATCTTGTGATATAAAAATGACTCACGACTGAAGTTAAAGGGGAAGTAGAGCTGTTACCATTTCTCTGCCAGTGCGTCTGTCAGCAGTCCAGTTAGCACCTCTCCTCTCAGTGACTCTGCTGCTTCAGTAAACACTGGTGCACCTGGTGAGAGAGAGGAGCATCCACATTACACCATCACAAGATGTTGCTGTTTGGATGGAGAAGGACCTGAGAGGCCAGTCAAGCACATTCCTGGTGGCTCATTCTGTCTTCTTTCTCTTTTCCTTGCAATTATCATGATTGGAATATAACGTACTCTTCCCTGAGTTTCCACACAAACACAGCCCCTTAGACAGTTGAGTCAGGACCACATTTACAAAAAAACTGCAGAGGCCAGCTAGGAAACTACTGAGCCTTTCATTTCTAAAGGAAAGAAAGAAAGGACATATCTGGTTTTTAAGATTCATATCAGGTGGCTAAACACTGTAATTAGCTTTGCTCTTTCCATCGGATTCGTGTGACAGTAAGAAAAATACATAAAACGGCGACAACCTTTACCATCACAATTGAACTCAACCTTTTCAACCAATGATTTTCTAAATCCATAAAAAGGGGAAGTCAATGGTTTGTCATCAGCTATTGAGACATCAGCATCAATTAGAAATGAAAGCTTTGCAGAACCAGGCCCTGTGTAAATAAACCTACTAACTCCCTATGAGGCTGCACGCCATCTTAGATCAGCTGATTGCGGTCTCCTGGTCGTTCCCAGTGCCCGACTGGTGACTAAAGGCTGTCGTGCTTTTGTAATGCAGGCCCCCAAACTCTGGAATAATTTACCAGCTGAGATCAGACATGTGACATCTGTTATGTCTATTAAATTCTTTCTTTTACCACATTTTTTCACCACATCCAGTCTTACTCAAGTCAAATGTTTTATGTTTTATCCTCTAGAAAAGTGCCATACAAATACATATATTGTTATTATGATACCATTATCAGCCGGTGAGGTGGCCTACACATACTTGCAGCCTCCTACCTGCATGTGTTTGTGACTTAAACAGTCCCAGTACTCTGTCAGGCTTGTACCCTGCTAACTCAGGGTGAGGCTCTCCCTGTAGAAATGATGTCACTTCCTCCTCTGTGGACAGTAGTGCGGGAGAGGCTGAGCAGCTCCTGGTAAAACAGCAAAATTCACACAAACATATGCACATGTGAGCAGATTTAGGACTTTTTTACATTTTTAAGGAACAATTTGTTCAAGGGAAAAACCATATCACATTTATTGGGTGATTACAGGACAAATCATCTTTGTCAGAGGAAAATAATTTAGGTAATAACAGCAGAAGCGTTTAACCATTGACTCTTTGAATCCTGCAGACTTGTGAAATATTCACAAGACGTTCCTTGAGAAGCTTTATGTTTTTGTCCTTCTGTTTTGGATGGTTTCAGTAAAGCCAAGAAGATGTTGAGTTCTGTTAGAGCAGCAGCCCATTTTCCTCCAAACTCATTAAAATAATTTTTGAACATGTTGACATGTGGGTGATGTACTTCCTGTGTTTCCTGTCTTTTTCTGAGGTACAGAAGATACATTTAGAAGAACCATAGTATGGGTCTGATATAATCAAGTTGTTTTCTGTAAAGGTTGTTTTTCTTAGGAACTATTTAACTTATGTCATACGCCGCCCTCTAATAGTGCCCATGACAAACAACCCTGTGGGGGAGGGCAGGACGTTCATATCATTTATCTCAGGTTGAGACTCATCTTTTTCTTTTGACTCTCAGAGAACTCACAGCATGATGAAGCGATGCAGGGCCTCGCTACCCAGCATGCCGCTGAAGTGCCGTGCTGACTCCTGGGGCTGAAAAACCCAGACACTGGGGAAGGCCGTGATTGGCTTGAACTGGGCCGGGAGAGATCTTCCTGACTGAGCAGCACAGAGGTCAGTCCACTCTCCACAGTCGACTGTGCTCATCTGCACGTTGTCGACCTCAGAGTCTGAAAATATAATATTGATCAGCTCATCTGTGTAATCAAGATATGGACATAATTAAAAAAAGAGGTTATAAATCCACACATACAAATTTAGAGACGATATAAAAGAGGCTCCAACTATTCATATCTGGATTGTGCAGCTCTACTCACCCTCAAGTCTCTCTGCAACTTCAATGAAAGAGCTGAGGAAAGCCATTGAAACAGCATCCCCTGGTGGTGAGAAACAGACCCTACATCATCAGTTCCATCCACATGAATTAGTTTAAGTTCATTATCATTCCCTGACAGACTGTGTCTTACATTTGAGGTAGAACAGCACCACAGTGAGGCTTTTTTGTGCTACTGCAGTGTGGAAGTTGTCAGAGGTTAGTTGGGTGATTGAGTCCATGTCCAGAAAGCTGCCTCTGTTTTTGAAGACGGACGCAGCGATTTCATCGTCCAGCTTGGCTGAAGGACGACACAGAAACACACAGATTTACTTTATAGTTTTTCTTATTCTTCACTGTTATTCACTTTATTTTGCCACCATCTTACCAGGATCTGAGTCCTCCTCCTCTGACTCCTCGTCCTCCTCTTCATCCTCCTCCTCTTCTCCCTCTTTCACTTGATGTGTAAAGAGCTCCATCACCTCATCGAGGTTGTGTAAGGTCATATACTTCACCTCTAAACTCTAGGTGGGCATAGACAGACACACACACACACACACACACACACA